AACATTTAAACATAAGCGCATTTAAACCAACAAAGTATATAGAGATTTAGTTCAATCAACAGACGATAGAACTATATAACGATAAATCAGACACTCAGTTCAACTTGAAACCTTTAATACGGTACGCTATACCAAGCTTAATTCACTCTCATAACACCGTAATTACATCATTATTCATATTTACTGGATATCGTCCGAGATTGACTCGCAAAGGAAGCCCATAAAAACAACCACGCGAGCTCAAAGTATCCTTTTATAGCGCGTCGGAGGACGTCCATAGTCTTTGTGGATTAATTTTTTACAAAGTATTCCAATTGACGAGCGGAAGTCACCGTCGCCGTCTATTTCAGTGTTGATTTATGTCAGGATCTCTTCAGGACGGCAATGTGGTATTACAGCATACTTAACTAAACAGAGACCGATGCGATAGTCTGGCCGTGACTACCCCAATTTGTAGTGGTTCGAATGGCGACGTGGTACAAGTAGAACGAACGGCGTGGTTAGTGTAATGGTAGCAAAAATTGATGTAAATTTAGGGTTATGTAAATAAAAACACTTTAACGGTTTAAAACTCGATATATTTTAGTTATGTTTTTTTTTAAATAATTTTTCACTCTACTTCCGTGGTCACGGAAAGTCTCCCCGTGACATGTTAACGGTTTAAACCCCGTTTATATGTTAGTAAAATTTATTTGAAAATTACTTTAACTGCGGCCCTATGTTTCGGACGCTATGACCAGGGCTGCTGCAAAGCAAGCGAAACGTGGAACCGTAGTTAAAATAATTTTCAAATAAGTTTAACTAATAATATATCGCGTTTTTCACCGATACATTAGTATGTTTAAATGTTCATAATATTGTTATTCTTATTATCTTTAATTTAAAAGATTTATAACAAAAATTACGACAATTTAAGTAAAATTTTAAATTTCAAAATATTTGTCCACCGGGACTTGAATCCGCGACCAACCACTTTATAAGTGCTCATGCGCTCATTTGGACACACTTTGCAGTACTTAATAATGTTCTGCATATCTAAACTAATATTATGAAGCTGAACGTTGGTATAAACGCATAAATTCAGACACTATAAAACTACTGGTTGAACTTGATTTTTTTATCAGGAAGTCTCTACATAACATCAAGCGGGATTTTTTTCAAAGCTTCCGCCCAGCCCCTAAAGCCCCCCCCCGCATGGGGGGGGCCGGGGCGGGGGCGGTGCCCCCCCCGGGGGGCCCCTTTGGGGGGGGGGGGAGGGGGGGGGGGCCCCCCCCCCCCCCCCCCCCCCCTTTTTTTTTTTTGCTAAAAAATTTTTTCAACTTGAACCGATAGCGCATTTAAACAAACAAACTCTTCAAAGCTGAGGAGGTTGCAAGAATAAATATGAATTCCAAAATACCCATTACACGCGGATGATGTCGCGGGCACAGCCTGTAACAAATAAACATCGAAAAAGAAATCGTTAAACCTATTAAGGTAGGCGTCACCATTTCCGCGTAATATTTGTCATTAGAAGCTTTTGTTTTTCATTGTACTCTCCCGGGGTTGGCTTATTCATATGAATTGAAGCGTTTTTTTGCTCTAATGGGTTAATATTCGAATTTTTTATGTGCCCTTTGGGATACATTTTACTACGCCCCCTAAATTCTCCACCTACGGTTTCATAACGCATAAATTCATTTTAAACAAGAGTGAAATAGATAAAAATCTGCATCATATAATATAAATGAATATAGCTGTATCGGTACATAATCATCGATTAACAAAATACATACACTATTGTTACTTACTGGTTAGTGAACTCACCTATAGATCACAAGGTTCGAGGTTCAAGGTCGGGTGACGTAAAAATATTTCCGTATGCATATTTAGAACTAGCTGATCCGGCAAATGTTAAAAACAAATAATTGCTTCTAATGCATTAATTTCAATCAAATTTGATTACCATGAATGCGTTAGACATTTACTGAACCGACATTGTTTATATAGTTTAAAGAAAAATCATTCTATCATTCATATTTTTTTGGTTTCTTGAACCGTTCTCGCAGCCCACGCAACGTAAGCAGTCTAAGATGAATAATTTGCCGCTTTTTTTTATTTACTTATTGGGTAAGGACTGTCGACATTTTATCACAATTACAGTAGCTTAAACTTAAAATATGCAAAAAACAAAACAAAGTTGTGTAAAACACTTATAGACAGACACAACATGCAAAGGAAAGACAAAGTGAGGACTACGTTGTACAAGAAGGAATACATTGAAAAGGTTATAATTAAGATATACGACAATAATATAACTAAATTAAACTGAGAGGGCTGAAGAAAACAAATTACTAAGTTTTCTGGGTGAATCCAGGTGTAGATCGATTAAGTGACTATGCTCATTTGCAACTTGACAACATCTCGATAATGGCGAATTGGCACCAAACACAGTTCTGCGTAGTGGAGTGCGAAGGGGGGTTGAGGGCTTGCGAGGATATTTGGATGGGACATAGTAACTTATTTTGTGTAATAGCTGGGGAGAGTCAATTTTATTTTGTAATAATTTCGATAAGAATATAGCGTCGGAGCGTCGTCTTTTATTGGTCACAGTGTGATGTTAAATAGCCTAAAGCCTTCCTCGATAAATGGTATATCTAACACAGAAACAATACGAACCAGAAGTTTGAGATTAGCACGTTTAAACGAACTCTTCAGTTTTATAATTAACTTCAGTTTAATAAAAAACATTTTTCCCTTTTCAGTCATACATTTATGAATCTTGTACACTTACAATAAGTATTTCTTATACATTGGAATTTATTAGAAATAATCTCTATTGTAAAACGAAGACCTGGATCAGCTAGGTATATACAAGTTGTATATTCGTTTTATGGTAGGCGATATGAAATTGATTGAAATTGCTTTGCAATCTGCAACCTCGGGCGTGGCGCACGTTTTCGTATCGATATCCCGGTGCGATCATGAAAAAATTAATATCGATAATAATCGGCTTCACATCATTACGACCGCCAAAGGGCCAGGACGTTTTACAATTCAATTAGTCTCGCCAGGTGTCGGCGGTTGAACATTCACTAAAACCGCAACTTAGCGTTTTATTATTCAATAGTTTTATTAGAGATTATTCATAGTGACTTCGGTTCAAATAGATGTTCCAAACTCAAAAATATACGGGCTAAATCGCGACTAATATTTCGTAACAGACAACATGGGATATTTCGCCTTTAGAACCGTTAAATATGTTTTATTTAATGTTTACTAATCAACAGCTGCAACTAAAATTGTTGTTTGTTAAGAGACACCCTATTAGAGTGAAATTCTAAAATTACACTTATCTTAACAGAAAACGAGATTGAAAGTTTAAACTAACGCTAACACCCTTCACGAGCCTAATAGACATCGCAGGTTTGAGTCTGATACAACACAAGGCGATGTCAAATAATTTACCTTTGTATAAAAATTTATGTACTGATTGCTACATATTTATGAGGTCAACAGCGGCCTATCTAATCACATTTGAATTTCAAAAATCATAATCTAACGACAAAAACACCAACCCCAACAATTCATACTAATCAAGTATAATAAAATACTCTCTTTGACAGACACTTAGTTGAATCACTTTAATAACGAGGCTCGTCGTTATCACATTGTTGAGGTCCAAATATTTCAATGCCAGCCGGCAAAACAGGTGCTAAGACATTGAGGCCCGAAATTTTCGTAATTAGCCCCTCATGCAAAGTAATAATTACGTAAGTAAATACCACACAACAATGTGACTGAAAGTGCTAATTAAAAGGCGATTAGCTCCTTCGACTTTTAAAATACTTTGGGGGAGTAACGTTTTATTTGTAAGCTAAGCGACGGTTAGAGTTAAGTTGAGGTAAGAGTTCGTGTTTACCTATCTAACGTACATATCGATGTACGTTTGACACGAAAAAGACAAATTCTGTGTTCGTTTATTTACTCGACGATTTATACAGGCCCTCCTCCTAAAAACGGAACCCAACAACACTGGCTTAACGCTATACAAAGTAACGTACTTTATATTTTTTTAACCTAAACTTTAATACCTACATAAGAAGACAGCAACAAATAATAATGTCAAAGTATCATCAGTACAATATTACCTTTGTAAGGTGTCCAACTGCATAACTAAAATGAAATACCGTTTCCCCCTCGTAGGGCATGGAGCGAAGACATTTCTACATCAATTTCACTGTCATTTTTATTTACAGTAGTCAATCAGACTTCTATAACCTCCCGAACGAAACAATCTACTATTTTTCCCGGATTCGAACTCGTAACCTCTGAGACTTAACGCAATACTAGACAAGACATTTAATCATTTACCTACAGCCGCAGTCTTCTACCTACATATATAATGGTTATGAAATCAATATATTAAACGATACCAATTTTTATATGCCTTTCCTAAAATGGGTGGAGTTTCTGAACAGTAGCATAAAATAAATACTATCATAGATGGCTTTACTGCATATACATATCAAATATTAAACCTAATTTAAGAATTATTTTTGACTACAACACATACCATGTTATGGGCTTCCCCGATAGTATTATTTACCAAAATTGTTTAATAATTTCAAAAGGTATGTGTTAATGGGTATAATGATTTAGTTGTTCTTTATTTTTGATGTTGATTAATTTATAGCCTCAATAAACTGCAGCTGCTATCTGATATAGCTGGTTATTTTGGCATAGAGTTTATATCACAGTACAATCAAGGTACAAATGATCTACAGTATAAATACATGCCAGTTTTTATCGTTTCTAGATAAAATTTGCTTTAAAAAAATTCTTGCCACTAAAGTGATATAATGCATTTTCTACTTACACTTTCTACTTGACATATTATTTTAATACTTAAAATCTATAAAAATGCATTTTTAAGATTGGTTTTACACATATATAAAAATCATACTAAATTAGAAAAAGTTACTACGACTACTACTACTACTAAGAATGTATTGACTTACCGATGTACTATTGCCTGATTTGTTAGATTTCAACACATCACTCTCTGAAGCCATTCTGTTAAACATTTGTTTCCTCTCCTTAACTGATATCTTTTGTTCACTATCTATGAGGGTGCTTTCACTACGAGAAGAAGTCAGTGTGGATGACTCGGGGTCTGTTGTCTCATTAGGAATTGACATTCTCAGGGATAAGTCTGAAGCACTTGTAGTCTTTTCTGCAGTTGCTTTCTCAGATTTTCTTCTTGGATGGACCTTTGGTGGAATGTCTTCAATTAAATTGTCTTGCACTATTTCTTTTGAAGCTTCACTTGAGTGTTCAATGGGCGGGGGTAGAACAGGGTCTTGGGATGGCAAAATAGAGCCAAGTAGGTTAAAATCTTGGTTTAACAATGGCAGAGGTGGTCTGCTTGGAGGCTGTTCATCGGGTTCATCAGTCGCCACAGACATTGACTCATCATTTTTAATCTCATTAATACCATCAATGCTTTGATTGCTTGGTAAATATTTCTTTTTTAATATCAACCATTTCTCATTGTTCTGAGTTTTAATAACAGCTAAGGAGTTCACATGTTTCTTAAAAGTGTTTCTGGCTTCATCTAAAACATAAAATCATAAAACTTATTGCTACTTCGAAAGGAGATAAGAACCTGAGTCATTGATTTTTTTTTTAGTTTTAACTCATATTTAACACACACACACACAGAGATCATATTTAACTTTATTTACATATGTATTTAATAACTTTGGTAACTTACCACGCATATTAGGGTTCATGAGAAAAACTTTAAAATGTTTAACCAACTCATAATTTGTAACCTTGCCATTGTGCGCCAACATATATTTTAGTATTTCGTCAAAACTTAACTCGGCCGGTGTCGACATTTTTGTTTTCACCTTTAAACAAATCACTTAAACTACATTAACAATTGCTATTAAATAAATGTATTCTAACAGTAAATTGAGAACAACAAAAAATCAAAACATTGGAGAATTTGACATAACCTATATTGTCAATTGTCAGTTGTAGTCAACGCAACGGCCGGGTCGGTATAGTTCCGTTCCTTTGTACGACTAAATTAACAGTACTTTTACTGGTTTTTAAAAAAGATAGTAATAATGGTTTTTAGGTTTTTTAAGTCCCGAATAAAATTGAGATCAATGTTTCAAAATTAAAATAAATGCATACATATACCAAAAACCGTGAAAATGTTACAAAGAAGCTAAATGGCCGTTTCTGTACATTGCGCGTTGTAGAGGTGAAGTTTGATAGTTAAAAACAGTATCTACCTAATTTAGATTTTTGTAGGTATATTCGAACAAATATCGTAAGTACGTATTATATTGCTGGATTACCAATCACAAAGAAAGTCGTTATAATAATTATAGTCTCATAATATTTATTAAATAAATAATAATTGATTTGTAATTTTTAATTTGATCTCTTATATGGCAAGATAAGGTAAGTAAACAGAAACGGATTCAGTGTATATAAATATAAGTAGTATCAGTTTTATATTTCGTTATTAGAGTATTGCAGTACTTGTCGCATTAAATCGACTTTGAATGTTTGACGTGAGGGTTGTCAGCGCGTCGTTGATTAACGCCCTTTGAAGCATCAGTCACTAAGTTGGTGTGTACTTATGTTTTGTATAGGCTATAGACATAGCTTTACTAACGATATGGTATGCTTACAAGCAATTCCTATAATAAACCTTGAAATATACTAAATCTACCAAATTTTTGAATTAAAAGTAAGCCTAGGTAATTTAAATTATGAACCGGGGTACTGCGTCACCACATTAGTGTATGTATGTATAAATTAAATGTATTGTACTTAATTATACTCATATACTCAAATTAGAAATCCGTTATACCCCTAAAAAAATACATATAACCACTAAAGGTTTCTCGAACTTAGGGCAAGTGGCAGACATATTTCTGTGTCCATTAATTAGACTTCTATACCCTGAACAAAATGAATGATCGAAACCGGAATTCGAACTTCTCGCGTTGCTCGCATGGATCTCTGAAGAAGTAAAGGCGTTTTAAACCATCGAGACATAGTGACTTCACTCGCGCCTCAAAATTTGGTACATAGCGTCTTATAACGTTTCGCCCGGATTAAACTCAAGTTCATTAAAACAAAATGCATGACATAGTTAAACACTTACGGCGAATGAAGTTGCGAACCTTACAAGCGACCAATTAAAAGTTAAATGTCTAATTCTTGTTAGTCTCGGCAAGTCCACAACAGACGGGTTACGTGGATCGGAAGTTGGTGTTCATAGGTAAGACAAGCCCGGAAAGTTTCCTAATAAGTAGCTCGACTGCAGCCATCCATCTGCTTCTTGATAATTTTGTACTTTAACACAAGGTAATGCAATAACTACACACAAGTTACTAGCTTACCTGGCTTACTTTCTTTTGCCATACGAAGTACCTACTGGCTTTGCCCGCGAACTGTTCCGCGTAGAATAGTTATTTTGGGCATCAAATTTTGTTTATGCAAATTATTTATATCTATTACTCACGACGTTGGTTACTACCAGTAGTTCTTGCGAGTTAATTTTAAAAGATAGACATCTACTGTGGTGGAATATTTTTTAGGAATCATTCTTTAATATTATTTGGGTATCTCTTATTCCTAAGATTTAAACGTTCACACAAACAAACGAACTCTTCATCTTTATAACATTAGTATAGATGTGGAATACCCAATATCCGAATTTACTGAGACCGGGGTAGGGATTCGGATATAGACGAGTAATAATAACGAAAAACGTACATTATGATATAAGTGCGGTAAGTTGAAAATTACAGCCGAGGCGATATTACTATAAGAAAGCAGAGGCTGTAATTTTCAAAGCGCACGTATGTCATACGACGTTTTATAACATATTTACGAAGAAATTAATAAAACTCTAACTTAGTTAAACGAATAAATCTTTAATTAATTGTTAAAGCAGTTATAAAAATTGGAACAATTTTTAAAAGTGATTGTAACGTTTTTTTTACGCAAAGGTACAAAAACAGCCAATATTACTAATAAAGTAAATTAATATTGTTTTTAGGTTTTTGTTATAGATAAATGGTTGTAATTTATTGTCAAAATTAATTAAATTAAAGAATTAATTGTTTATTCGTTATATTTTATTTCCCAAAGTTAATTTTATTCATAAAATATTGACCACTTTCTTGACATAAAACCTCTTTGCTAAGATTTTTAAAAGTATCGTTCATTTTTAGACGGAGTATCTTATTTAAAAAAAAACACGTGTTTTTCACATTACATTATCGCATAAGTACGCAATGAGATACATTACGATATTGAAATTGGTGTAATTACAACCACTTTACGAGCAAATATGTTATAAATAAACTTTACTAAATTCATGTGACAAAAATCTAACATCTTGTTCCTATCCTTGAACAATATAGCTATCCAAAAGTAAAACCTAGACTGTAGCGAGTTTCAATTTCGATATTCGACCATTCTAGCCATAGGCACTCACTATTAAGTATTTTCTCATCTCCAGAAATTTGATTTCATTAAATAAAACCTCGGATAATTGGCGATTCGGTTAATCGACATTCGGATAATCGGCGTTCGAACTAAAACTTTTAGACAGGGACGTTGATCTATGTATGGCCATTAACGGGTTGTGAAATCGATTTCTACAGTACCGCATCTGTGTAAATCACTTGCAGATTTGTCTAAACATGTTGAACTTATATCGATAATCAGGACTTTGGTAGAATTTATCAAGATTCCATAAGGGTGGAAAGAAATATAAATATATTTAGTTAATTTAGACAAAGGAAATAACAGTAGGTTTAGAATCATGAATATTCATGTGAATAAGAAATGCTTCGAATCTATTTTTTCCAACAACTGTTTTTCGTTACTCAAACTTTGTAGACGATAGTATAAAAAATCTAGAAGTTGTCTGCTGAAACGAATACAAACTTTTTGCAATTCAAGAAAGGTGATAAAATAATTTAAAATAGAGTCCTGGCCTTTTAAACATTCAAAATAAAAAGACTAGAGACAAGACATTTGGATATGTCCATTACACTAGTCCATGTGTAAAACCAAGTACCAATCAGCTGATGCTTTTTGTTTTCCAAATTTGTAAACCCAGGACCTCTCCTGCATATTACGGGTATCTGTACAGAAGGCTCACTTGTTTTATTTGTTAATATAACGATCTTGTCACATTGAAGAAAAATAACAAACAGAATAATAATTAATTAAAAGTTGGTGGTAAAGCAACAGCACAGAACACTGACGATGCCGGTTCAAGACCTGCCCGAGTCGAAATTCATCTCAATTTATTTTCGATTTTTTAAAGTTAGAGGGTTCGAGGACATACGAGGAGTAAGTAGTACATTTAATATGTACTTGATTATAGAAAGATTTTACTCTGTAATATGCAATTAAAAACCTTATATATTACAGAAGTAAAATCTTTTAACCTTTACATAATAAAATTTTGCTAATTCTGCATATCACAAACGCCTATAATCTAACGCTGGCATTATATCTAAGAAAATGTTTTGTATGTGAGGAACAACGTAGATACTTTTAAAACAAACGGCAGCTTTCATCAGTACAATACACGTAATAAGGACAAAATAAGTGTACTAAACAAAAGGCTCCATAAAAGTAGTAGTTCCTTTCAAGGTAACTGCATACGATACTTTAATAAAATCCCCAGCGAAGTGCAAGCACTCTCAATAAATAAGTTTAAATCGTATGTAAAACAAAAACTGCTTGAAAAGGGTTATTATCACGTTAATCAATATTTAAATGATAAAAATGCTTGGGGTGTGGAGGAACCCGCTCTTAGGAAAAATATGTGGTGTGCATAATTTTTTTTAATTTGGCGATAAAAGGAGTGACGGCGAGTTTATTGCCAGTTCTTCTCTTTCGTTCTACGCCCTTGATTTGAGAACTGGTAGTAAATTTAAAGTTAGTTAGTTAGTTCTTTAATTTTGTGACGTTCATAAGTGTACATAGGTACCTAGATGAATAAATGATTTTTGACTTTTGACCAAGTCGAGGATGTAGTTCAATTTTTTTTATAGCTAAAGAAGAGTATTAGGTCTAGTTTCCATCTTATATTAGAGAACACGAAATGAACATCTTTTTTTATTTATTTATCAGTAAAACCAGTTTAACATTTCACGATAATTATATTTTTTTAATAAATTACGAATTACTTTACTTATCTTTTCATTTGCAAACTACCTTTAATTTAATGGCGGGAATCCCCGCACTTTAAATAGAATTAATTATTTCTATTGAGAAAAAAATCAGTTTTTTTCTCTCAATCAATAAGTTCTGAGTGACACGGAAAATTACATAATTTCCTATTTAGTAATAGGAAATTATGTTTAGGTGGGTAATTTACGTTTTTATTATACATTCAGCCTTTTATAAAGTTATAAGATAAATATATATATTTTTTAATATAGAGAAGGATAGACAAGAATGAGGTCCACATGATGGTAGGTGGAATACCCCAGCTATGTAACATCCGAACAAGATGTGCTCTCTATATTTTGGCTTTGGATATTAGGAAATATTAGTTGAAAGACAAAATAATATTTATTGAAATTAAAGAAAACGCGGCGGCTAAATAGCTATCTCTCCCACGCAACAACGCTAAAAATAAAAACACGTAAAAAAACTACGCATGACAGCAGAAAAAAAACTTACTTAAACTTATAATAACAATAATACAAAAATGAGCTTAATCTAAAATACATTAATTTCTAACTTAACTAGAAATAAATAGTGGGACTTGACAAGATTCTTGAAGGAAGCGAGATTCTGGACGCTTCTGATGTTAGAAATGATTCCAAAGCTTTACTGCTCTCACATGAAAGAACAAATGATGAAAGAATCTCTTGAGTCAGAAAGAGAACTGAAAGTCAAGCATTAATTTCGATGGGGTCTTTGGTTGCAAGTCCCCTATATTCGACAGAGTAAAATAATAAGCGGTTTCAGCATATTTGTGGTAAAAGTTTAATAGGTTGAGAACGTAAATAAAAACATTTATTATTAACATAATAGATAAGAATATGCACCATCACGATACAAGGGAATTTTCACACGACAAACCATTTGTTCCTCGTGTAACGTCGCACGTCAGTATGCCAATTACAACTTTTATCGATGAAATCATTTTCTTAAACCTCTTTAATACATCAGACCGGGGATTAAGACCTTTATTGGAGTTCATTGTTTTGTAAGCTCGAAAACGGAACGGCCACCTGTAGGAGATGGAAAGCAGCAGTAGAAGCCTGGAGTATCGGTATCACCTATTGGAGAATTGTGACACGATGAAAAAAGTAGTTTTCTTGTTATGTAGGGCAAGACTAACGTATGTACGTAAGTGGTTAACTTGGTTTTAGGGTCATCGGTAATTAGGTAGTTAACTATAAATTTTCCTTTAAATGACTGTTTAAAACGCGATATACCTATATTAGATAAACCTATATTAGTTAAAAGTGGTCTCCCCACAACCACGCTACGGGTGCAAAGCATCCGAAACATTGGTCCGTAGTTAAAATAATTTTCAAATAGGTTTTACTAATAAATATCGCGTTCTAAACCGTTAAAGTGTTTCCTTTCAATGTATACTAGTCGTGTAATATACAGACAGTAGAAATTTGCCTTTTTAAGTTTAATTATTCAAAGTCTAAAATGTACTTTCCAAGTTTTATATTATGTGCTCAAGTAACTGTCTTGGCTTTAGATAAGTGATTATTAGTCATCACTGCACTTGATACATTTAAATTCATTATATTAAGTAGGTTGAGGCTCTGATGACATTCTTATCTTTGAAGAATTTTTAATATTGATGTAATTAAAAATGTATTGAGAATTTATGTTATATAGAGTGCATATACAGCATGTTAAAATTATCTGTGGTATGTAGATAGACATAAGTACTAAATAAATTGTGCCAGGATTATTTCTGATTTTAAAAAATTAACGAGTTATACCTTTGGTTGTATGAAATTATATAGATTTTCTTATTCGTCAATAAAGTGGTTTTATTTTTATTTTTTTTTTATTTTTATTAAATCATTAAAATTAGTTTACTATTACTAATTATCAGTTTATTATTTTATAATTCATATGAAATCATAAACTTTAAACACTATAAATACACTGTAAATACTAGTTATATTACTAACTAGTTGTGTCAGCGACTTCGTCCTCGAGAATCGTTATTATGGGTAACCAAATTAGTTTTGCAAACCTCTTCACCACTAATCTTTAAAGAGGAAATACTTTCGTCATATTTTTTGGGTATCTTTAACCGTTTTTGGAGCGTACGTCTCGAAAACCCATAACGATAAATAAATTCCCCAATTTTTGTTAAATTTCCTATTACTATTACATACCTTCCTCGATAAATACTCTAACCACAAAAAATATATTTTTTAATTCGAGCCCGTAACTCAAACAAACAAACAACTCAACTCAAACAAACAACAAACTCTTCAGCTTTATATATTAGTATAGAATCGTCTTAAATATTTGTGATTGAAGGGTTTAGTTTGAAAATTCTGTAACAGCGGTGGACTTTCAAGCCTTAAGGATGTTACAAATTCGTAACGTCAGAATCATATGGAGGAAACTAAGAGGACATTGACCTATCGTCAAATATTTCGGGGGATCTACGTACTTAGTAAAACGTTGTAAAATATTTTCTTGTTCTGTAAATATCCATTTATTAGGTGTCTTTATCTATAGTTTTAACTATAATACAAGTAAAGTTTTAATACTGTTAGGACATTTGTTATGTTTGTTTACCTAAAGTAGAAATTTCCAATAGTAATAGTTACGATTGATTTAATATAATATGTCTGTGAATTATTTTTATTCAAGCTGTTACTTTATAGAGTTCCGTACTAAAAAGAAATTTAAAGCGGAACCCTAGTAATGAGACTTCGCTATCACTACGCGCAAAAACCATAGATAAGGAAAAAAAAGTAAAATCGCTCAAAATGTTCTGAGAGAAAAATTAAACGATACTTCTTAATAGACCGTACACAAATGACATATAGTTTGGAAAGTTAGTTAATTCCTCGCATAGTTTCGCCCGGAAAACTGCCGCGGCGACCTTTGCGAAAAGTTTTGCGATGGAAATCTTAAAAGTTGTTAGTGAATATTTCATGGTCCCCGCAGCTCGCCCGCGGCTGTTCGAGTTGACGATGGTCATGTGTCGGTGAGCGATTAGCGGAGGTACGGCCATGTTGCGGCGGACGGCGGGAAATCGCTGCCGCCCATGGGAGGCGTGAGGCGCCGAACCGATAGACAGGGACGGCGCTAGGCAACCGTACGTAGCGTGAGCGGGACGCACGCAAGGCGGCGGAACGCAGAGGGCGTTTGGTCTGGCGGAGTACCACGCACTCCTGTTCCGGTCGCGACGGCGGGCGGCCGGAATCCCGTGCCTCGCAACACTGATTCTACCACTTTTCCCAATACGCTCTCGAATGCGCGCGAACCGCGGGCAGGTGAGAAGCCCGCTGCCATTTTTCTCGCTCGCACCCAGCGTCCGTTGCGCGGAGTTTTCCCGCCAATTCGTAGTTGGGCGAAAAGTTTTTTGGCGCGAAAGCCCTCGGACCTAAGTGGATGATGTATGCGGTTTGTCAGTGAAGATTGACGTGTGTTCGAATAATGGATGACTGGGAGAGACATGTCACCCCCCTTCTACAGGACATGGGCTGCTCGAATGACGCCCAAGATGACTTCTTCCACCAGCAGGACGTAAGTTATAACAACTTTATTTTCGCACTCAGAAAATAACGCGAGAGGAATCGCGCCTTTACGAGAACTAGCTTTTAGCGATACGAACCACTAACACTTATCAAATGAACCAATGTACTATTGAACTACACTAGCTTGCAAAACGAGGATCTGAGTAATAATTTTACTAATAGTAAAGAGTTGTATGAAGTTCTAGACTACTTATTAAAAAGAAACACTCCAATATTTGTACACATCAAAGTTTTATACAAAGGTACTTAAATACAATTTGAACAGGAATCTGATAAGAATTAAAATGCTATAACTTAAACGTTATCCAATCAGCTAAACACTTTATTTCTGGCAATAAGTTCAAAATACTTTTTAGTAACAAACTGGAAAAACTAATTATAATCATATATCTATTTTGTTTTATATAAGTAGATTATATTTTAAGCTCACATGTGCATTTTTAAAAAACTATAATAATTCAAATATAAAACGTTGTGGCTTAAAAAAAAATATAAAAAATCATTTATCTCCATACGTCAAGGACGAATAATTTAAACGGCGATAATCAACAGTCTAATCTATCTATAACGTACTTAATTCTTTGTACCTTAGTTAGGGTCAAAGTTATATAAAGTATAACAGCCTTTTCGACCTTAAGCGTGGTTTTAAAGGTAAGACAAAATAAAGGTAGATCTACTTTATTTTTTTATGTTTGTTTATTTATTTTTATTTTCCCAAGATTTATGAAAACACCAAAAAGAATATAATTTATGGTAGGTGAAAGGAGGAGACATTACAAAGGCGTAACCTAAAAATTGTTCACAGGTATATATATGTATAAAAGTAAGGTAAAACAATGTTATTGCCAATTTAGTTTGTCTCCTTAGTTTAATATTACGTATAATATATAGTATAATAAAACCACTAAGTTACTAATGTATTGTTCTGATTGCTTATTACAGATTGATTCGTGGAAAAAATATTTTTTATATAGTTTCTCTAAGCAGGTATATAATTCAGTCCTTGGTTCACAATTTAAATTGGTATATACCAATTAAAGATACACACAGTCTAGAAGGCTACAGGAGTGGTTAAGGTAAACGCCTGGACTTGAATTATATGTTATTAAAAAAGTCTAGGTACATATTAATGCAATCACACTTTGCATTCCCAGCCTTGTATATTGACTTACTAAATTTTATGTGTTGTCGACCACCTTTTCGATTCCCACTACAGTATACAATTAGCCTTTTATAAATCAGCTAGCTGTGTCAGCGACTTCCGTGTCCGCATAGAATAGTTATATTGGGTATCAAATTTGTTTCTGCGTTACATCTAATGTCGTGGACTATTTTTTACATCATTTAAAGAGGGATTATGTTTTAATACATAGTTTTTGGGTATCGCGAACCGTTTCCGCAGCGTACGCCTCGGAATCCCACAAAGATAAATAATTTTTCGAGTTTTTTTTTACATTTCACGCTGTTTCTTTGCTTCTATTAGTCACAGCGCGATGTTTTATAGCCAAAATTGCCTTCCTCGATATATGCCCCAACACAAAAAAATCAATTCGAACCAGTAGTTCCTTAGATTAGCGCGTTCAATGTATTTTTGAAAATGGAATTTTAAAAATAGGTCCACAAAAAGTTTTAAATTCCTTCAGCTTAAATGACGTCATTTAATATTTTCATTAAAATGTATTTACTAGAAACAAATAATTATTATAAGTTCATAGCTGAGCTTAGAACTGTATGGTAATTTTAAATATTATTATAGGCACTAATTTGTTCAACTGTCATTAAAGCTCCTACTATTACAGATAACGAAACGGTTTGACAGTTATTTTGTATCTTAATACAAACGAATAAGGGCTAATAAAACCTGTTTCATATCTTATTCGAAGATGTAGTCGTTCGAAATTTATCATTTGTTTGACATTGAGAGAATCATTGATATTTATTTCATTTGTTCCCACTTATGGGTTACAAAATTTTATTTCAGTATGAATTGGGTTCAAAATATAATAACAAATATACATTACTTTTCGTGCGATTCTTATGTAGCACACTCATTTCAAAGCTACGTTTCGCTTGTTCACATACTTAAAAGGGTTTTTGAGAAAAGTCACAATATTATTTCTGTTTTTAGAAAAAAATACGTTTTTAATGGAATGACGTTAGCTCTGCAAAAATTGCCTTACCTATACAATTTAGTGCTTAAAAACTTGCAAGAACGACGGGATGCGACCGACATCGTGGGTAACAACTTAAGTTTATAAAGGCCACTCTACTACTTATATTATAATTGTCAACTTGGCAACGGGTCTAGAAACTTCTTCTGTCTAACACTGGTTCACCAGTAATGACTACAAGTGGGTTTTCTTATTCTAGAACTTATCGATGTTTCCTACATTATATTATATACATAATCGTTAACAAAATAAAGCTATAGTAAGTGATTTTCTTCATGTTGTGAACGTATTAACTCGTCGATAAAAAATTCGAGCTTAAATACGATTAAAAGTACGATCAAATATTTATTTAAGACGTTAGTACAAATAAAGCAACAAATCTAACACGAATATTTCTAGTAGTTACACATGTACACAAAAAACCAGACGAAATTCTCACGAACAATGGGCATTAGAATAAAATCGCAATGAATTTGCTTGGAAAGTGTGTGCACGATACCGTTTAGCCATGCGAAAGGCAAACGGAGAATCGTTGAATTTGTTATACAAAAGTACATAGCACGCTAATATTGTACATATGTTATATGATTCATAGCACGCTAATATTGTACATGTGTCATTGATATAATTAATATAAGGGTAAACTGTACGCTACAAACACCTATTCTTACGACGAGCAGGACAGACAAACAAAGTTCATCCACTTGAAATCCACAGACTGAGACCGCAATACGATTACACTTTACGGCTTTTCCATTTAGGTATGTATTTCGTTATGGGGCGAAATACACACATTTAAATAAAACACTTTTAACGAATTAAAACGCGATATGTATGAGTTAACTTATTTACAATTTATTTCAGCTCTAGCCCGACGTTCGAATGCTTTGTAGCAGACGTGGTCGCGCAGGGAGTAGTTTAAATACATTTTAAATAATTGTGCTCATATATTTCGCGTTTAAAACCGTAATAATGTGTTTCATTTGAATGTGCACTACTGGCGTTTACAGACACAAATTACAGACAATACTACCCTTATAATGCTCCGATTGGACTAACGAGTCTGGCAGAACTTCATTTGTTAATAACAATAAGAACGTACGTACTTAGAAAAGCTTTGAGTCTGAACTTAGATATTTTATTTTAGGATAGGATACATATAGTATTGTAGGATGTATGTATTTATTTATAGTTTAGTTCACACAAACCTAAACAAACACGTATACTTATAGAATCAATTGATAAATTGGTTAATCATTTTCATTTAGTCGCTTAGATTGAAATTGGGGTTCCCGAGAATACCTCTATTCAGGTGACCCTCGGCACTGATGACATCATTAACGGATCTCTAATGCATCAGCGTAGCTTGATTGAGTTCATATAATTATAAATACTAGCACATTATACAATCATAATATCTTTCGAGTCATTACGTAACGCGTTACGCCGCCACTCTGTTTGTTTCATGTAGACAACTAGCTTGATTGAAAGATTAACTCTTTTGGTTTTAATAAATAATCTAGATATAAAGCTGAGAGACACAGACAAACTATAGACAATTTGTACCTATATGTAGCGATGTAAATAAATAACTCACTGTCCAAACTTCTAAACTGAATTTACTTTACAAAGACTTACGAGTATATAAAGTTAGTACACAATGGTGTTTAAATATATAACAATAATTAAGATCGCTATATAACGCACCTTATTCACTTGTTCAGAAACTAGATCGAAGTAACTAAAGACATCGATTAGCTTTGCCTAACAACAATTTGTAAAATAGCTAAAAATTAAGATAAGCCTTAAAATCACATAAATGGGATATATATTTTAAAAGTACTACTCCCGTGACCACGACTTGAGCAAAGCAACGTCGTGGTCACGGGGGAGTGGGGATGTGAGATATCTGGTCGACCGTTAGTTAAAGCAAATACTTAAACTAGCTTTTTAAAACAAACTTAAAGGAAATTCTCGATAATTGAGATTTGAATCTAATATTGACTTTTTTAACTAATCTTACCAAACACTAAAGTCCAAATTCCAAACTCAGACTTACTTACTTCTTACGGTGGCGAGTTCTATGCCCGGCTTTGCATCTGTGGATGGTGGTTCGTTCGTTTTATGCTACTATTACACCAACGAGCGCGTCAAATAATTTACAAAGTAGAAATATTTTAGTATTTGTCTCGAAATGAATCGAATACTAAAATTAGGTTCAATTCTTCGCCTTTAACATAACTAATAGTTAATTGCGCTATCGACCGTTTCAGTAAAATTGCCCATCCTTATAAAGGCAGACGCAGAATAAGTTATGGTTGTCCAATGCGGGTTCACAGCTGTCCACTTAATAATCCCGATACATAATGTTTTAAAGGCGAAATTAGTGAACACCTTTCGATTATTGATTGAGCAGATAGTTAAACGGCTGATATGTAGATTGAAATTTAATATTTTGTTCGTTTTGAATATATTTTATTCACTAAGAAAATTGAAGTTCACACGAGCTACACACATTTAAATATTTTAACGGTTCGAAACGCGATATATATTATTTATATTAAATAAGTTAGGTATACGGGTACGTTTATGTATTCGCATAAAAGCTTCTAAGATTGTCGGGAGACCCCCCCCCCCCCCTCTTGTCAGCAAAAGTAAGTAAAGCTCTTACCCCTCAGTAGCTTGTTGGCTATTCAAGCATTGGTCGTCGCGACATGTAGAATAAATTATTATCTTTTTGGGTTTACGT